CCCCCCTATACTGAATTTTATTGTTGTTAACAACCATTTGATCAATAAATATGAGAGATGCCCTCTCAAAAAATAAAAAATAAATAAATAAATAAATAAAAATAAATAAAAAATTTAAAAAAAACATAAAAAAAAAGTGACCTTTCTTGCCAGTGATTTTAAGCACTTTGTCCTCGATCTTAAAACTTTCATTCAGAGAACTAATTGTTACTATTACTCAAGAGTTTATCTGTGGCTTTTCCTTTCCTCTCTGCTTCTGCACATATCCACACTCCCACTGTAAACTTTCAGTGAAACTGAACTTTTCCTTACCTCTTTGTTCTTTCTAACCTGTTCTTCTAATATTACTTTTTCTTGTGTGTATAAATAAGGAAATAAGATTTGAGTTAGCTTTATTCAAAATGTGGTAAGGGTGAAATTAATGATTTTTCCTTGGCAAATTTAAAAATAACTTTCTTGAAACCTTTTTTAAAATTTAAATTATTGGAAGGCAAATCTAGCTGCTTAAACAGTACTGTGTTCAATGGTGCTTTTATTTGAAGTTATAATTCCTTTAGTTTGACAAATTTGTCAAGTTATTATATGTATATATACTTAGATTCATACACTTGATTCTGTTTTTCAACATGAAAGGTTACCTCTTTTGGTTGTCTTTGACTACCACTCTTCTATCTTTCTTTTGAGTATTTTCACTTTCCTGTCTTCAAACTGAGAACATTCTCCTTTTTTCCATTTCCTGAATAATTTAAATCGCAAGCTCTGAAGAGATAATCTGTATATGTATGTTTAACTTCCACTTTTCTTTATTTATTTTTGAGCAACTCCCACTTTATCTTTGATCTCTTAGCCAAATCTCCAGTTTCTCATAGTCACTTCACACTGAAAATGACGGAATTATTTTTCCTTTTATCTCCATACCCTCCAGTAATTCCCTCATTATTAGTTGAAATATTACTTCCTGTGTCTTTCCTTCTCATTCACATTCTTTCTTCTGCAGTACCCCCTCTTTCATATTTGTCTGGATTTTCTTATTTCTGTTTCTTAAACAAAGCCTTCAATTCCCATTATAAAGTTTTTTTTCATATCAGATAACTTATTTTCTCTATAATCTGCATGTTTTCATTCCCAAAGTCTTTCTCACTTCTTTACCCCCACTATCAAAACTGTCACATTGCTAATTGATATTATGCTGTATCTGTGAGCCCCGTTTTTACTCTTTACCTATTCCTCCATATACTCTCCCACTCTTCCTTTAATATGAGCCAAATTTCTCTTTATCTCTTTGTTCTATCTCCTACTCTTCTAATTTGCCACCCTCTATGCTTATAATAACTTCCTACCTCACATCTGCCAACCTACCTATATTCTCATTCAAAGCTTGCTTGAAATCTTAATTCCTTTTAAGTGGGTAAAGATAGGAAAATAGCTAAAAGTCTGCTTTATAACTAATTTAATTTTTTCTGAAAATTCTGTATGCTAAATTAAAGAGAAATGTCTCATAAAGCAAAACCAATGCTCAACCAAACAATGAAAACTTCCAGAAAAGAAAGGTAGATTTATATATATTTCAGCCTCCTCTTTGATTGTTAAATCAGTTTTGTTCATTCTGTGCCCACCAATATATTGAAAGTTAAGGATACAAACCCAAAGGTAGAAGACAATGGTTATTGCCCTCAGAAAGCTAATAATCTAGATAAGAAGAAGAGATTAATATACATGAAGCACTTAGAAAGTAGTTGTAATAACTAGCCTAATATGCTAGGTTGTGTTGTATAGACTTTAAGTGCTATAAGTAATCAGAAGAAATGGAAGGCATTATTGCTTGGGGTTGCTGCTGAAGATTTCACAGAGGAAGTGGATCTTGAGGAAAATGTAGAATGTGGATTAGTTGGACTGGGATAGAAGGCTTGCGTTAGCCTTTCTAGGTAAAAAAAAAAAAAAAAAAAAGGAATGTTTAGCAAAGACCCTAAGAGAGAAATTCATTGGTTATTTAAGAAAACAGCAAATTTTGTTCCAGGGAGAAATAAGAAATGTAGTCAGGTAATTCAGTAGGAACTAATCGAGCAAAAGCATTGAATTACAAATTGAGGGACTAAGAATTATGTTTTAAAAAGAAAACCCCTTTACCTGAGTATTTTAATCAAGGTTTTAAAGTCCAAAATTTTCTTTAATAATGATATTAGCTAATGTTGAGTGTTTTACTATGTGCTGAACATTCTTCTAAGTGTTTTACATGTAATAATAACTAATTTCATCTTCACAACAACCCTTTGTGGTAGGTTTTGTTTTATCCCCCTTATTTTACAAATGAGGGGGATAAAAAGGTACTACTGGCTTAAGTTGACACAAGTAAGTGACAGGGCCAGGATTCAAACCCGCATAGTCTCTGGTACCAGAATCTATATTCTTACCTGCTATATACACAACCTTGTAAAAGAGGTATATAAGTGCTCCAAATATATTGTGAGATTTGGGCAATTAACCTTGACTTACTCTTTTAATGAAAGATAATTTTCTCAAGCACTACTCACATCAGAACATCTCTTAATCCAGAATGTATTTTTCTTCACGAAAAATCTCTGAGGAAACTTCGGGCTAGAATTTTTTTTTTTAATTCATTAGTTGCTTGCTGCACTGATGGACGGTGACTGCATTGGGGTATGGGTGGGGACTTGATAATATGGGTAAATGTAGTAACCACATTGTTTTTTCATGTGAAACCTTCAGAAGAGTGTATATCAATCATACCTTAATGAAAATTTTTAAAAAATTCATTAGTTGTTTGTCGTATGAAGTGATACTTATTTTCTCTTGTAAAATCCTTATTTCATCAGTCCCTTTATTACAACAGGGCTTATCGTTGGAACTCTTGATTCAGTCTTAGACTCCACTGCTAAAGTAGCTCCGTTTCGCATCTTACACCAGACACCAGATTCTCAGGTTTACCTGTCAATTGCATGTGGTGAGTAAGGTTTTGAAAACCTATAATTCAAACAAATAAGGATACTGATAAATATTGTATTTATTAATACTCCCTATTTAGAAAAAGTGAAATGTGCACCTACTTTGAAAGAATAGCAAGACATCTAATTGTTTAAGGATTACAGATTATTACAATTTGTAAAAAGTCCATTACTGTGAGGGACTTGAAGTGTATGTTCCAGCAGTGCTGATTCAGAGCAAATTTTGGTCAAAATCTATATGCTATATGACTACATTCTCCATTTACTTATCCTGCTTCACCCAATTGCTGGGAAGATGAGAACTTACCATAAAATACTTTGTTTCATTTCTGATAAACTCAGATGAGGAGAATAAGCCCAGAACTTAAAGTTTGTCCCCTAAGAAAGTATAAGCCTGAAAAATTCAACACTTTTTAGTTACATACCTACATCCTCACAAAAGTTCAATCCTTGAACTGTGAGTGGATGTCTTATAGGTAATGCTGTGTATTCATTCATGCTGGGGTAAATCAGCTGTTTCCACATACATATATATTGTGGGCAGAAAAGGAATAAGGATAATTCTTCCTAATAAAGCAACTAAAAAAAAACCCCACAATGACAGTTTATTACTTCTTTTATTGATGCCATTGTAATATTGGTCTAAATTAGAGTCCCAGATTTCTGGCCTTTTTAATGTTGAAAGACTGCCTTTTTCTCTTTCTTCTTCCCCTCTCTTCTCAAGTCGATATACTTTAACAACAACAACAAAACCTTATGAATTTCTCGATAGTTCATATGTGTGAACATGCAGCATACAATTAAATTTTTAAGATATGTGGCTTGTTTTTTGCATTTTCTTATAAATTTTAGTGTTGCTGGTGAATGTTTTCCCCTGCTTCTATTAAATGGAATGCCACATTTAAACTAAAACTGCTGGTGTCAAAAGACATCTGTAACCTCAATTTTAAATCAGTCAGTAGAAATTATTTAGAAAGAAAAACTGTTATTTCTAATTTAAAAAATAGGAGAGGATGACTATATAACTTACTCCCCCCAAAATTAACCTGACCCAAAAATATAGTAATTACCTACTAATGAAGCTTCATTATACCTAAAGGACCAAAACAAAGGCCTTAAAATTTCCCTATGGCTTTTATTTGTGGTTCATCAAAGAAAGTTATTACATGTGGTATGGTGACTTTAGTAACATAATTCTAACAATTGTAGGAAATAGGTAATTTTGCATGTCCAATAAGTTTTTTAATGTGTCACTCTCCATATAACTTAAAACATACTAAGAAGTCAAGATATTTCTTTTGAATCAATGTGTATAATCCACAGTGCTGGGGAGATCATAAAGGTATGTGGTTTATGGGGGAGATTGATAATGAAATGTTCTTCAAGCCAAAGCAACCCAGAACTAACTTTAATATTTAATCTGACCTTCAACAAGCCACCTAATACTGATTCAGTTGGTACATGGATTTAACCTTGGTACAGGGTTTGTAACCTCTTTCATGAAATTTAAGTTGATAGACCTTTAAATGAAAGGGGTGATTCTGAGCAAAGGCTCCAGACTTTCTGAGGTTAGTAGAGCTGCCACAGTTGAAATCCACATTTATACAGTGTGCATAGGATTGCCACATGCATGCTGTTTTTAGTCACACAAATTATAGGCACAGTACTGACAGTATTGCTTGAAGACCAAGGATTCAATTGCATATATTTACATTCTGGCATTCTGTATATTCTCTTAAAAGATACTGGTTACTGCAGATATGAGTACTGGCATCTTGTTTTCAGAATTTTATATCTTTTCTCATGAATTATATTGACTTTTCTCCTTTTCCATTAAAATTTTATTCTATTTATAATGAAAAATAGTGTTCATGTCCATATATAGTGAAGAAGTAGAGAATAAATGTGATACCTTTATTACTTTATGATCATTTTTGAAAATGAGGAAATATGATTTTATTTGTTTTTAAACTAAGCTTCAGAATATTGGAGCAATTTTGCTGTGGAGTTTCTCTTGAGTCTATTATTTTATTCTCTTATTAATCAGGAGCCAACAGAGAAGAAATAACCAAACATTGGGATTGGTTGGAACAAAATATCATGAAGACTTTATCTGTGTTTGATTCAAATGAAGATATTACTAATTTTGTCCAAGGAAAGATAAGAGTAAGTGGCATGGATATATTTTATAAACAGAATACTAAAATCTTTGACCATTTTATTTGAGGATGAAAGGCTGCATGGAAGGTCATTCATTGTTTTACTGGCACCTTTCAGGATTGTCAGAAGCACAAATGAATGTCAGAATCAGTGCTAAAGAAAATTGTAAAGTTATTGGTTAGTCCTTGGTGCCCTTGTGTGTGCTATTTGGGATATATTAATTTCAGTATCTCTTGAGTTTAGAATTTGTATGAACTCTTCAACCCAATTGAAGGAATATTTCACACCTGTATTTGTGGTAGCAACTTGTAAGGCATTAGAAAATGCCTAATTACAAAATTAAAGAAAATCTGTTCACCTATGTCCTAAGAGAAGTATGTATGTGCACACACATATGCATATAATAGATGTACCTGTGTAGATGTACACAGTTGTATTCAATAAACTGTTTAAAGAGATGAAATAAATTTTTGTTGGTAGGTAATGATTAATTTTAAGAAAATATCTTCTCTCCTTTAGGGATTAATTGCTGAGGAGGGAAAACATTCTTTTGCAAAAGAAGATGATCCTGAGAAATTCCGAGAAGCCCTTTTGAAATTTGAAAAATGTTTTGGTTTACCAGAGCAGGAGAAGTTAGTGACTTATTACTCATGCAGTTATTGGAAAGGACGGGTTCCTTGTCAGGGCTGGCTCTATCTTAGCACCAACTTTCTGAGCTTCTATTCTTATTTGTTGGGATCAGAAAGTAAGTTGTTTCTGTTACCATGACTTTGAACTTGTGCTGACTGACCTATCAACTCTGTAATGTTAGGTTGTACATAAAATAATAGGATTGATATTAAGGGTAATTAATGTGTGCATTAAAAAGTTTCCTTCACTAAAGAAAGAATTCCTTTTAAGACTGTTTGCTTAACATAGGAACCATTAGATGTATGTATCAAATTCCTTGCATATTGTAGGAAGTGAATGAATGTTAAATGACAATGGTGATTTGGCATTTAACTCCTTTCTTTCCCTTGTTCTAAACTAGCTACTTTCTTCAGCCCATGGTATAACATACAATGAAAATATAGAAGCTGTAGTACACAGCTACAAAGAAGAATCAAACGGTGCACAGAAATAACTTTTACATCAGTGGTTACATAGTTATGTAAAGTAACATTTAAATACCAGAATCATTTTTTTTAATTCTTTCAGGTTATATCTGTTCCTAGAATTATCAATTATTGTATGTGCATGTTTATGCTTCAAAATTTTAACTAATCTTGAATTCTAAAGTATTTTAGTTGCTCATCGCATTTTTAAGTGGCTAATTATTGTTTCAAAACACCTGATTGATAAACACTAATCAGTACTGAGAAATTTAATTATATCTGCTTATAACCCTTATTTGCAGTAAAACTCATTATCTCCTGGGATGCAGTCTCAAAACTTGAAAAGACTTCAAATGTTATACTAACAGAGAGTATTCATGTGTGTTCCCAAGGGGAGAATCACTACTTTTCAATGTTCTTGCATATTAACCAAACATACCTTCTCATGGAACAGCTGGCAAACTATGCTATAAAGAGACTTTTTGATAAGGAGACATTTGATAATGACCCAATCCTTGAAGATCCTCTACAAATCACCAAAAGGTATTCAAAACTGAATTAATACTTACTTTTTAAAGTATCGTTTGACCGAAGAATGGTAGTGTTGATAGGCATTAAAAAGTTAAACTGTTCTATGATAGTTTTCCTTTGGAGTTAATATCAGTGTGGTTTTTTTTTTACTTCATTCATATGTTTTTCACAAATAGTGTCCTCTCTTATGAAATTCAATCCTAAGAAGTAATAGAAGTTAAGTTAAGCTTGAAAATTATTTCTTGAGATCCCAGTATGATTTGCCCTGCAGTGCTTTTGAAATGTAGAGATTTTTGTAGGGGTGGTTAGTCTAATTCTAAATTTCTATATGAATAGTCTGGATAGTTTCAGGTCTGAAATTGTTAAATGTATTATTTATCTTTAAACAATCTATAAACAGAGTCTTTTTTTATGAAGAGGCAAGTTAGTGGAGCATGGTCTTTAGCATGAGAATATAGTAATCCTTGGACAAGTCATAATCTCTCAGGACCTCAGTTTCCTCCTCTGTCATTTCTACTTCGGGGGCACTTGTGAGGAATAAAAAATGTAGCATATGAAAGTGCTTTGTAAAATACAAAGCACTAGATAAATGTTAATCATTTTTGGTGCCTGCATCAAAAATATCTCTGATAGCTGTTTGCCACTATATTCGATTTGCTGAAACTGAACAGAGCCCTTTCATGCTGTTCAACACTCAGAACAGTTACCTGAAATGAGGATGACAAAGGGGAGGGAGAGAGGAGAGGATGCAGAAATAGCTAGTGGAAGCAGCTTGTGGCAAGGAGAGTAAGGGTATATATAGACTGTATGGGAAAGTGTAAGAGGAACCTAAGCTGCAGTTCTATGAGCAGACCAGAACAAGTGACCTAGAGGGTTGTATGATTACACATAGCCCTAAATGGGTACAGTTGTTCTTACTGATTCCTCAACCATTCCTAAAATCTGTATACATAAGGATACCTTTCTGAGCCTGCATGCTTTTCTGGAAAATAGATCAAAAAGGTGAATTTTTTATACCTTATTACCAAAATTAGGTCCCAGTATGCATGGTTTATATATAGGACTTTATAAGGATTAAGAATCGTGTTTGTACATAGTTCTGGAGGTCCTCGCCACAGCAATTAGACAGCACAAAGAAATAAAGGACATCCAGATGGGTAAGGAAGAAGTTAAACTGTCACTGTTTGCAGATGACATGATATTGTACATAAAAACCCCTAAAGAATCCACTCCAAAACTGCTAGAACTAATTCTGAATTCAGCAGGATTACAAAAGTAATACACAGAAATCTGTTGCATTTCTATACACTAACAATGAACTAGCAGAAAGAGAAATCAGGAAAACAATTCCATTCACAACTGCATCAAAAAGAATACAATACCTAGGAATAAACCTAACCAAGGAAGTGAAAGACCTATACCCTGAAAACCACAAGACAATCATGAGAGAAATTAAAGAAGATACTAATAAATGGAAACATATCCTGTGCTTATGGATAGGAAGAATTAATATTGTTAAAATGGCCATCCTACATAAAGCAATCTACAGATTCAATGCAATCCCTATCAAAATACTGACAGCATTCTTCAATGAACTAGAGCAAATCATTCTAAAATTCATGTGAAACCACAAAAGACCTCAAATAACCAAAGCGATCCTGAGAAGGAAGAATAAAGCTGGAGGAATTACACTCCCCAACTTCAAGCTTTACTACAAAGCCACAGTAATCAAGACAATTTGGTACTGGGACATGAACAGAAAAATAGACCGATGGAACAGACTAGAGAGCCCAGATATAAACCCAACCATATATGATCAATTAATATACAATAAAGGAGCCATGGACATACAATGGGGAAATGACAGCCTCTTCAACAGATGGTGTTAGCAAAACTGGACAGCTACATGCAAGAGAATGAAACTGGATTATTGTTTAACCCCATACACAAAAGTAAACTTGAAATGGATCAAAGACCTGAATGTAATTTGTGAAACCATAAAACTCTTAGAAGACAACATAGGCAAAAATCTCCTGAATATGAACATGAGCAACTTCTTCCTGAACGCATCTCCCAGAGCAAGGGAAACAAAAGCAAAAATGAACACATGGGATGACATCAAACTAAAAAGCTTCTGTACGGCAAAGGACACCATCAACAGAACAAAAAGACATCCTACAGTATGGGAGAATATATTCCTAAATGACATATCCAATAAGGGGATGACATCCAAAATATACAAAGAGCTCACACACATCAACAAACAAAAAGCAAATAATCCAATTAAAAAATGGGCAGAGGAGCTGAACAGACAATTCTCCAAAGAAGAAATTCAGGTGGTCAACAGACACATGAAAAGATGCTCCACATCACTAATCATCAGGGAAATGCAAATTAAAACCACAATGAGATATCACCTCACAGCAGTAAGGATGGCCAGCATCAAAAAGGCTAAGAACAACAAATGCTGGCAAGAATGTGAAGAAAAGGGAACCCTCCTACACTGCCTGTGGGAATGTAAGCTAGTTCAACCATTGTGGAAAGCAATATGGAGGTTCCTCAAAAAACTAAAAATAGAGATACCATTTGACCTGCGAATCCCACTCTTTAGAATTTACCCAAAGAATACAAGTTGTCAGATTCAAAAAGACATATGCACCCCTATTTTTATTGCAACACTATTTACAGTAGCCAAGATATGGAAGCAACCTAAGTGTCCATCAGTAGATGAATGGATAAAGAAGATGTGGTATATATACATGATGGAGTACTATTCAGCCATAAGAAAGAAACAAATTCTACCATTTGTAACAACATGGATGGAGCTGGAGGACATTATGCTCAGTGAAATAATCCAAGTGAAGAAAGACAAGTGCCAAATGATTTCCCTCATTTGTGGAGTATAACAATGAAGCAAACTGAAGGAACAAAACAGCAGCAGACTCACAGACTCCAAGAAGGGACTAGTGGTTACCAAAGGGGAGGGGTGTGGGAGGGTGGGTGGGGAGGGAGGGAGAAGGGGATTAAGGAGTATTATGTTTAGTACACATGCTGTGAGGGGTCAAGGGGAAAACAGGGCAGCACAGAGAAGGCAAACAGTGAATTTGTGGCATCTTACTACACTGATGGACAGTGACTGCAATGGGGTATGGGTGGGGAATTGATAATATGGGTAAATTGTAGTAACCACATTGTTTTTTCATGTGAAACCTTCATAAGAGTGTATATCAATAATACCTTAATAAAAAAGTTAAAAATATATATATATATAAGCAAACAAGCAAATAAATAAATAAGATAAATAAATAAATAAATACAAATAAGAAAGAAAAAAAATTCTGTTTATATCATAGTTCGGAGTTTGTTTTTGTACTGACCTTGATTTGCCACCATAAACATAAACTTTTTAGCCATTTAATTTCCCTTAAAATATCCTCTAAAAGGCTCTCTGTAAATGAGTTACTTATTACCAAGTATGTATTTAAATGAGATATTGAAAATCTATTTTTGTCCATGTGCATTTTTAAGACAGCCTGTATCTAAATCCTTTGATTCTAGTAAAAAAAGCAATAGCTTATTTAGAGTTAGTTCCCAAATTACTATTTTCTAAAAGGGTGTATTTTCATTGCTTCAGCTTATTGTTTCTACAAATATGTATTCTATAATTTATAAATAATACAGAAGCATAATAATAATAGTTAAGTTCAGTATATATCTTTCTAGGTTTTTTAATGCATGAATTAAAAATATTTTCAAAAAGCATGAATGGAACTAAGCATCACATATTATTCTACAATCTGCTTTTTTCTCCTTTAAAATAATATATCATGAGTTCTTCAAAGAAGAAATTCAGATGGCCAACAGACACATGAAAAGATGTTCCACATCGCTAGTCATCAGAGANACCATCCAAAAGACAAACAACAACAAATGTTGGCGAGGTTGTGGAGAAAGGGGAACCCTCCTACACTGCTGGTGGGAATGTAAATTAGTTCAACCACTATGGAAAGCAGTATGGAGGTTTCTCATAAAGCTCAACATAGAAATACCATTTGACCCAGGAATTCTACTTCTAGGAATTTACCCTAAGAATGCAGCAGCCCAGTTTGAAAAAGACATAAGCACCCCTATGTTTATCGCTGCACTATTTACAATAGCCAAGAAATGGAAGCAACCAAAGTGTCCATCAGTAGATGAATGGATAAAGAAGATGTGGTACATATACACAATGGAATATTATTCAGCCATGAGAAGAAAACAAATCCTACCATTTGCAACAACATGGATGGAGCTAGAGGGTATTATGCTCAGTGAAATAAGCCAGGCAGAGAAAGACAAGTACCAAATGATTTCACTCATGTAGAATATAAGAACAAAGGAAAAACTGAAGGAACAAAACAGCAGCAGAATCACAGAACCCAAGAAAGGGCTAACAGTTACCAAACGGAAAGGGACTGAAGAGGATGGGTGGGAAGGGACGGAGAAGGAGGGCAGGGACAAAGGGGGCCTATGATTAGCATGTATAATGTGTTGGTGGCACGGGGAAGGCTGTGCAACACAGAGAAGACAAGTGATTTTACAGCATCTTACACTGATGGACAGTGACTAATGTATGTGGGGGGAACTTGGTGAAGGGGGGAGTCTAGTAAACATACTGTTCCTCATGTAATTGTAGATTAATGATACCAAAAAAATATATATGTATATATCATGAACATCCTTTCATTCATATAAATAGACCTTATCCTTTTAAATAATAGTGGAATAACCTACCAAATTACAATTTTGTGAGGTAAAAATTTATGTGGTTTTCTGTTCATATGCATCAGAATTACTTTGAAAGACATTACATGCCACATATTCAAATAGTATATGCTAGAAGGGTGACTTTAGTTTCAACTTGGTTGGCTTTGAGTTAAAACTTGCATATTTACTTGCTACCCCATGTAGCATCACTGCTTAGCACAGGTGTTTAGTGTTTCTAGAGAAATTGTACTATTTTAAGTGATTGTTTTTTATTTATATATTTATGTATCAATAACAAGTCATCTGCATTTATTGATACCTATCCTGTGCCCAATACTGTGCATTCATTGCTTTACCTTGCCTCTACTTTGGATTTCTTTGAAATATTCATTTAAAATTTTGCTTAATTTGAAAAATACTTTTTTGCACTATTCTTCCCATCTAAATTTTGATGCCATAAATTTCCATGATTTGTTTTGTTTGAACTGGGTATTTTGATTTTCTGATGACTAGATATGAAAATATTGTTTGCCAAGATCAGTTTTAGCCATATTCACATATTATGAATATAGAGTAGTATTATAATAATATTCCAGCAAATCATGCCTTTGACAGATGGTATGAAGAGCAATGTCATCTCTTTTGTGCATTATAATCTAGTAATAGGACAAAACTGGAAAAAAGAACAAAGAAAATGAATTTATTAGGAGTCAGTGTGTTTCTTCCATTTCATAATTTGTTGAAGAACATAGCATGTAGTGTTTAATCTTCCTGCTTTACAGTCCATATAGATTAATCATTGTAAGCATGCATATAGTTCAGAAGTCACCATTGGAGCCTCCCGTCTTTTTTTCTTTCCTACAGAGGTCTGGAAAATCGAGCCCACAGTGAGCAGTTTAATGCTTTTTTTAGGCTGCCCAAAGAAGAGACTTTGAAAGAAGTACATGAGTGTTTCTTATGGGTACCATTCAGCCACTTCAATACTCTTGGAAAAATGTGCATCTCAGAAAACTATATCTGCTTTGCTAGCCAAGATGGCAATCTATGTAATGTAATCATTCCACTACGAGAGGTAATATAAATTTGGTTTTTAGTTTGAAAAATCTGTCATTCACAGAGTAAAATGTCCTTTAATTCTGTAAATTATTAAAAACTCAGTATGTAACATCTTTTCATTTAAAAATAACCATTGTTTAAGTTCAGCATTATTTTTTCAGGATAAGAGCCTTATTAGCTTTTATTGAAAGTGAAAACAAACAAAAATTAAAAATTTATAAGCAAGATAAGGGTTTAGGATAACTTAAAATGGAGCATGATCACTCAGACATTTATGACATGAATACCAAACCTCAGACTATTACATCTGGTATATACAGTAAGAAAGAATAGGATTGATAACTTTTGTGTAAGTCAGAAATAAAATCTCAGCATTGTAACACTGAAATCTTACATTTCTATTATCATTTAAAGGATACATGTTTATTAAACCTTTTCCTTGAGAAGTAAAGTAACTTGCACTGAGGTCGTTTGTATTAGTAGTACAGTGAGTATCCAAAGTCTGTTTCTTAATAAATCATTCCATAGACCAAAACTTTAGCCACAAAAGTAAGCTAAACATTGTGTCTGAAGGTGCCACAGCAACAAGGGAAAATGTGATTCTTTTATAAATTGTTTTCACCCTTCAGGTCTTAGCGGTAGACAAGACAAATGATTCCAGCAAACCTGTCATCATTAGCATCAGAGGAAAAACAGCTTTTCGCTTCAGTGAAGTTAAGGACTTCGAGAAACTGGTGGCAAAACTGAGGCTCAAGTGTGGGGCAGCTTCAACTCAATATCATGATATTAGCACTGAGGTAATTATATAGCGATCAAATCATTTTGAAAAAAACATTTGTGTTTTGTGTGGTCCATTCCTTCAAAAGGAATTCATAGTAACTTATCTATTCCTACTTAGGTTCTTTTTTTTGAAGATTAAAACCAAAGAAATTATATTCTCTAAATCACATCATAAAAAGAAGTAAGAATTAAGGACTTTGTCTTTTTTAGGAACTCATACTTTAAAAAAATTATCATTTAATCTTTTTTAACTATATTTGCTGCTTATCACATGTATATACCTTACGCTTTCACGTAACATGGCTTTTGACAACTCAAGCTATATTTGAGAATTCAAAAAGGCCTTGGAAAACACTCTCCTCAGTGCTGTAGAAGACAGCAATTTTAAGTACATCTTTTATTTAATATTGATTAAGTCAGCCTTATTTACATAATCTAGCATCAAGCAAAGTAGTGGCATATGCATTTACTAGTAAAATATAAGAGAAGGCAAATATTCTTGGCAAAGGGTGGTTAACAGCCAGATTTTGATGTTTAATGTGTCTTTCATAGAAATGTATGAGTTTCAATTCAAATTCATTTTCTTTTTCAATGCTTAGGAAGTCCATGTTTTAGTCGATTGATTAAACTTATCACATTGTAACAATATTTTAATTAAAATTGAATAAAAAATCAACATTGACTTTACAGGTTTTATTTATTTTCCTTGGATCAGATCACGGAGGCTTTTACCTCTCATTCCAGAATAGAGACTGCAAAATTAGGTCAAGTCAATTATAATGCAGTATTGGTAAGACTAACTTTCCTTTTGATAATAGAAAAGTACTATGAAACCATGTAATATACCTCAGTTCCAGACACAGAACCTTCATGTTGGCCATCAAGAGTTTTCATGCCCCAACTTTCTAATCTTTCATTTTCTTCAAGTATGTGCCAAGGATATTCCTTAGTTTGATATGAGGAAACAAGTAAAATCTGATTTAATCTTGGTTGTTTCTCTACTGATGCTCCTATATCACTATTTTTCCTGTCCTGTTTCATTTCAGACTTGGTCAGTGTATTAGACTTAATGCTCTACTTATTTTCCCTTCTCCTTTAATTTACCTGTGTCTCTTAAACCTGAAGAACTGGAATGTTTTCCCTGAAAACTCTTAGATGCCTCTAGTAGCGGGTGTGATCAGTTGTCATGAATTTTGTTTCAAAATGAGTTTACTATCTTTTCAGATGTATGTCAAAGAGTCCCAAGGTTTTCTAGTTTGTTTTACCCTTTATTAGAGGTTTTAATAATGAAAAGTAGAAAATAATAGTATACTGGTTTGCTTGCATATTTATTTTCTTTAATTGTTACAACATTCTATTTTCACTTAATTATTATCTTAGCAATGATGAAGAATATTGATTTGTTTTAGCATTATCCATATATATCTAGCTTTAATGATAGTACATTTTAAAAGTTAGTAGAGAGAAGATTTTTTAAATAAGAGCTAGTTACGTTTGATTTCTGAATGACAGGAATTGTAGCTACATTATTCTATAGCTACACCTAGAGCACTAAAAGAAGAAGGAAAAATCATATTCTATGATTTTACCAAATCTGGTAAATTTTGCACAGACAATAAGACTTTTCAATCTAAATCTCAAAAAGAAGTCTAAATCAAGAAATCTAAATATGAATACAGGAAGAGCTTTAGGAAATGTTTCCTGTGAGTGCATTAAGAATGTTATATAAAGGACATATGCTCCCAGAAGTAATTGGGATTGTGCATTAATAGTAGGTCTGTCCAAATTTTTAAATGTGTCCATTAAAATTAACAGTTTATTAAGTTATGTTAAAATCTGGGTATGTACACAGGTTTTAAAAAATTGTAGTAAGTGCTTAGGAAACACATTAATCTTTTTATTGACACATATACTCAAGAAATATTACTAGATATGGTAATTTTTCAAAACTACCAAATGAAAGAAAAATGGGCCCTTTTAGCTTAGTTTGAAGCAAAGCAACAGAAGAGGAGAAAGTACTGCTGAAGGTCCCTTAATGCTTTGGAACTGCATTGTAAGTGGATCATAGGAACTATGAAAGTCAAGAAGAAGTACAAATTGAGCTATTCCTTAAAGTATTTAGAAGGGCAAATATTTTCTACAGATTGTCAAAGCATATATAAACATTTGTTTCATTAGTTCTCATAACTATCACTATCTAAACTCTCTAAATTTCTTAATTAGAAGTAATGGGTTCCTAATCCTACACAATAATGTAGATAAGAATAATAGTTTAACCCATACAACTGGTTTTTGTTTGCTTTAATAAGGATAAAGTAATGTTTCCTGTGATCATAATATAAATTAGACATAGATGTTTTAGCTGTGGGGTGTAGATTTATTTCAGTTAGGAAACCAGAAATTTTATTGAAAATAAAATTAGTACTAATTTTAAATTACAGACTATGAACAGGAGCCTGTTTTAACATAAGCTTCTGATATTTAGGTTAGCCATTTCTTTGCATTTTTGGTTGTAATTTTTGGTTTTACAGGTCAACTCCGATGAGTTTATGAGATATTCCAATTTCAATCTAGTATTTTGTAAAAAAGTTTAACACATAAAGAAATAATAATCTTCACCCTGCCTTTCCTTCACTATTAGAAGCCATATGCTATTTCTAATGCCAGAGGCAGATACCAAAAACCAAACAAGTCTAAGAATACCTGTTAGAGAGTCCACAATCTGTGTTGCTTCCTCATGTGATGGGATTTTGCTCAGACACTATATGCCTGATTATCAAATGTATTCCTGTTACAAGTGAGTTTGTTTTTATGCCAGCACTATACTGTTTTGATTACTATAGCTTTGTAGAATTGTTTGAAATCAGGAAGTATGATGCCTCTGACATTGTTCTTCTTTCTCAGGATTACTTTTCTGGTTTCATACAAATTTTAGGATTTTGTTTCTATTTCTGTGAAAAATCCCCATACTTAAAAAAAATAGATGACAAGTACAACTAAACAAGCAAGCCCGTAATAATAACCAAACCAAAATAATAACCAAAACCAAACCAAACCCATCTTATTTCAACCATGAAAATAAATATTTCCATATTTGAATCCTAGAAAATGTATATTCAACTATTAAGCTAGTAAATTATAAATTGATTTATCTTTTAGGAAGGTGAGAGTATAGAGAGAAGTATCTCTAGCCAGAATTACTCAGCATCTCAAAATATGTAGACAAGAAGAAAACAACAGAGGAGCATTGCAGTAATGCACAGTGCTAGGACACAATGTTGCTGTTTGCAGAGAGGATGTTTGCCAGCTCATGTACACCCTCAAAGCCATAATGGAATATCACCATTGTTGTCAATTGCTTGAAAAGTTTCTGCACTCAGTCCTTCAGCCAATATTGGTTGAGAGAGGGGGAGGTCAGTTCTCACTGATTATTTCTCACTTCACTTCCATATTTGCACTGTCACTTCCATTCAGGGTAATGATGTGTGCTGTTATTTGCACAGATAGTCCCAGGAGTTTTGAGGCCACAACAGGCAGTTTCTTTGAAGAGTGCAAAAAGCGAACACTTAAAAATCTCCAAATATCAATTTCTCATTCTCCTATAAAAAATCAGTTATCTAGTAAAAAATGAACTTATTTCAGATTAATAAACAAGTACAGAATAATGATGAAAAAGCATCTGTGTGGTCAAATGAATGACAAAGGAATCTAGAGTTTTTTTCAGTGAAGATCTTTTTATATCATAATAGCCAAGAAGTCAAGTACAGTGAACTGTACCCTAAACATTTGTGTCAGACATCTATTTGTTCTCTTAATTAAAAATATCATTTGTAATTTGTATTTGACATATAACAGTTTTTTATAGCCATTTATCTATGCTTCATGGGAAAATATACCAAACAGCATTTTCAGTTTATTTTTCTAAATAAATGTGTTGTTTTTTAAGAAAAAAATCCCATTGGAATTTTGGTAGGGATTGCCTTGAATTTATTAGGTGGTTTGAGATAGTATGGACTTTTGAACAATATTCTTTCAATCCGTGAGCCCAAGATACCATCCATTTATTTGTGTCTTCAGTTTCTTTCATCAGTGTTTTACAATTTTTGGTGTACAGATCTTTCACATCCTTGGTTTAATTTATAAATAAGTATTGCATTGTTTTTGGTGCTAATGTAATGAGAGTGTTTCCTCTATTTCTTTTTTTTTAGATAGTTCACTGTTAGTATATAAAAGCATCATTGATTTTGTATCCTGAAACTACTAAATTTGTTGATTAGTTCTAACAGTTTTTTAGTAGAGTCTTTAGGGTTTTCTGTATACAAGGTCATGTCATCAGCAGAGAATTGTACTTCTTCCTTCCTGATTTGGACTCATTTTATTTCCTTATTTTGACTGATGGCTCTACTAGGACTTCTAGTACTATGTTGAATAGAAGTGATGAGAGCGGGTGCCCTTATCTTGTTCCTGATCTTAGAGGGACAGCTTTCAGCCTTTCTCCATGTTTTATGGTGTTAGCTGTGGGCTTGTCATATATGGCCTTTATTATGTTGAGGTACATTCTCTCTATAACCACTTTGTTAAACCATCCTTGCCTCCCGGGATATATCCCATTTGATCGTGGTGTATGATCCTTTCACTGTGCTGTTGAATTCAGTTTGCTAATATTTTGTTGAGAATTTTAGCATCTGTATTTATCAGGGATTTTGGCCAGTAGTTTTCTTGTAGTACCCTTATCTGGCTTGGGTGTTAGGGGCATGCTGGCCTTGTAAAGTGATTTGGAAGCATTGCCATCCACTTCAGTGTTTTTGGAAGAGTTTGGGAAAGACTGGCATTAATTCTTCTTTAGATGTTTGGCAGAATTCATGTATGAAGCCATCTGGTTCAGGGATTTTCTTTGTTGGGAGGTTTTAGATTCAGATTTAATTTCCTTACATGTTACTGTTATGTTCAAATTTTCTATTTCTTTATGATTCAGTCTTGGTAGGTTATATGTCTCTAAGAATTTGTCCATTTTTCTATGTTGTCCAATTTGTTGACATAAAATCATTCATAGAAGTCTCTATGATTTTTTGTATTTCTGTGATACCAATTATACTGTCTCTTCTAATTGTATTTATTTGAGTCCTCTCTCTTTTCTTGGTAAGTTTTGTGAAAAGTTTGTCGATTTTGTCTTTTAAAAAAATCAATTCTCAGTTTTGTTGATAGTTCACTTCTTTTTATTGCTGAACGACATTGCATAATCTGGATATACCATGGTGTTTATCCATTCACCTATTGAAGGTCATCTTGGTTGTTTCTAATTTTTGGCAATTATGAATAAAGCTGCCGTAAACGTTCCTGTGCAGGATTTTGTGTAGACATACGTTTTCAGCTCATTTGGATACATGCCTCAGAGCACAATTGCTGAATAGTGTGGTAAGACTATGTTTAGCTTTGTAAGACTGCCAAACCATCTTCCAAAGTAGCTGGACTATTTGGCATTTCCCTTAGCAGTGAATGAGAGCTCTTGTTCACAGCCTTAGTAGCACTTGGTCTTGTCAGTGTTTTGGATTTTAGCCATTTTAATAGGTGTGCAGTGGTATCTCATTGTTTCTTTAATTTGCAATTTTCTGATGACATGATGTTGAACATCTTTTCATATGATTGTCATCTCTATATCTTCTTTGGTTAGGTCTCTCATTAGATCTTTTGTCCACTTTTTAACTGGGTACTTATTTCTTTAAAACATAGTTTCCTTTAGTTCTTTGAATATATTTATAATACCTGCTTTACATTCCTAGTTTACAAAATCCAACAACTGGGACACCTCAGGGACATTTTCTGTTGGTTTCTCTCTTTTATAGTTCTAGTTTTTATTTTTATGCCTTGTTTTAATTATATTGCCTCACCCCCTGAGGCAGTATAAATTAGTCATCATCCAATAATGGGTCAGAAGAGTTACTTAAGTGACTTGAACATTAAGTTTTCTACTTTTTACCAAGGGGATCTTTGTGTGAAGGTATACCTTAAACTTTAGGCAGTTTATAAATCAGCCTTAGCTTTCATTTCTTACTTCCAAAGGTAGCCAGAGTTGAGTGACTGGGGGTTTCTCCTATGTCATTTTTTTCCTGGGCACCCTGAACATGCATGCACACTTCTAGATCCCAAAGAATATGTTGGAACCTTTTAAAGTTCCCTGTAGCCATTTGGTTCTCCAGGTCTTTTCAATTTTTAGCCAGGCTCCTGTTTGCCCCACCTGAAATCACAGCGTTAGGCAGCTGTGATGTTATCAGCAGAATGCTCAGGTTTTCCAAAATGCCCTCGGGACAGGGCTTATTTCATAGGGCTGAGCTCCATATCAAATCAAGTGATAATAATACCCTAAGAATGGAGATTTTCCAAGGAGCTACTAGTTTGCTCAGAATACTGACTGTGTTCTAGGGGTGGAGATTTTAATGAAGCTCCAAAAGATCAATTGGCTGTGATAATGCTGACTTTCATGACTACCACACTTCTGAGTTTGGGAGAAAGATGAAAAGGGAATAGCCTCAGGTTAAAACTTCAGAGAATGGTGTTCTTAACCAACATTCATTAGTTTTACTTGAATTGATGCTTCTCAGTTTTGCTGTCTTCTGGTGATCTGAACTGTTTTATTTTTAAAACTTTTCCCAATATTTTGTTGTTTTTGTGGGGGAGTGGGTTCACTGAAGTCCTCAACTTGCTGTTTTAGACTTTGGTTTGTTGACATCTCTAATTTTCAAAGAAAAACAAGGAGACATTGCTTCAGTATTTGTTATGTATATAGATTGTGGTTTATAAATGATAGCTAAAACATTAGCACTTTTTCTTCTTGCAGGAACTTTTAAACATACATTTGGGCCAATTACATTCTTTCTTTTTCAGGTTCCTATTAGTTCTGATTCTGCAGACCCATCTGATAATATTGAGGTCCTATCTCTGACATGTAAGAGAGAATGCAGTAGAACTGTGAACACCGAAGCCTTAATGACAGTATTTCACCCTCAGAATTTGGAGACTCTTAATTCCAAAATGGTAGGAAAACAAAATGTTTAAATCTGTGGACTGAAACGGTCAAAAATAAAAATCTTAGAGCAGACTAGTAGGTACCACAACTGAAAAATTTTTGAGGGGGTAGCTGAAGAGGTCTTCTAGCAGGTACTAATGATAGAATCTGGACATGAGTACCCCTTTTTGAGTAAGCCCATCCACCATCCCAGAGAGACCTAGATTTCATCTTACCCAGGCTTCAAGCATTCTCCAGAGGACACATTAGCAAGCCACAAACCCACCTTTTCCCTGATCCCTCCCCTCAAAAAGCCCACCAAAAACCTGGCCATAAAAAGCCACTTACTCTATAAGAGACACCTGCTTGGACTGTTGAATTTGCATCCCCTCTTTTCCTTTCAACTAGTGTGTGACTTGTTTGATTCCATTACACAAAGACTATTATCAAGAATTAAGACAACAGATGAAAGTTGAACATTGGGTCCTATTTGCATGGATTTCCAATAACCAATCCTAATATCAAGGTGATTTTTGTGAGAATGATGTTCCAAAGCTTTACCTCCTATGTGTAATGCTTTTCCCATTTTTATATGTGTTTAGCTGCTGAAGAATTAAAATAGTAAATTAAAACTGTTATGCTCACATGGATTTAAAAGATTTTTGTGGTAACAGTGGTCTGGTATTTGGCTTCTCTGTGAATCCTGATTTTGACTTTCAACAATAGATGTTGTTTCATGGTGATGAGTTATCAAGTGATTTGAAAGAAATTAATTTCTCTCCATGTTGCTTTGAATATGTGTTATAGTTGAAAGAAAAGATGAAGGAACAGTCATGGAACATCCTATTTGCAGAATGTGGGCGTGGTGTTAGCATGTTTCGGACCAAAAAGACTCAAGATCTGGTTGTAAGAGGGATTCCAGAGACCTTAAGAGGAGAGCTGTGGATGCTTTTTTCAGGTGTTACATTTATTCACTTTATGCATTTAACAGATGTTAACTATGCTCCTTTAGGAGTTATGCACTAAGCTAAATAAAAGTAATTACAGAGATGGCTAGGACAAAGTCTTCCTCATCATGAATTTAGACCGTGATAGAGAGTATGGTAGTTATATGTACTCACCTATATATCCACACATCCATGTCTGAGCAGATTAGTTTATTAGGCAAGATATGGCTAATGGGGGAGGAGGTGATCTCTGTCTCCACTGTCAGAGGAAAGTTAAGAGGAAAAAAATAGTCCATGGAAATGTTATTGTGTTGGATAAGATTGCTATCCTGGTATTACAGATTCTAGCGTAAAGCTTTTTCTTTTCTTTTGTTGACTTGAATATTACTTAAGTATAAATCTAAACTTAAAGGTAATCCAATTTTTCATGCATGTACGCAAGTAGTAGCTTTATTATATTCCTCTTCTTTTGTATATTAATGCAGTCATCTTTTCAGGTGCCATTAATGACATGGCTGCTAATCCTGGCTATTATGCTGAAGTGGTTGAGCTGTCCTTAGGGACCTGCAACTTGGCTACTGAAGAAATTGAGCGTGATTTGCGTCGCTCCCTGCCTGAACACCCAGCCTTTCAGAGTGACACTGGCATATCTGCTCTGAGGCGGGTACTCACTGCTTATGCATATAGGAATCCCAAAATTGGATACTGCCAGGTATGACTTTATTATGAGCCCAATTGTGTGTATGATCCAAATGATAAAATCACATTAAATCCAGTTCTACTAATTTGAAAATTGTAATAATAAGGACAGTTTGTGCTGATATTCATAGTGGATATTTTTAATCTGAGTTGGATGGTAGTAGGAATATTTAGGAGAATTGATATTCAATTAACTCATTATTCTTTTACATTTAATAAATATTTATTGAATTCCTGCTCTGTAAAAATACTTTACTAGGTACTTAAGACTATATAAACATGAATTAGATAGGGATCCTTCCCTTAAAAGTATATAGACCAGTAGATATTAAAACATTTATTGGTAAAGGAAAAACAAGAGACCTATTATGAGAGAGAAATATAAAATCATATGATTTATAATAGGGATAAATTATTTTTATCTGGAGGAATCAGAGAACGCTTCATTTGGAAGAAGTAGCATTTGCAGGTCTTAAAAACTGATTAAGTTTGGATGTATGAAGATGGAATGAAAGAACATTCCAAGCGAACACAGAGGTAAATGTGGAATATCTATAGAACCATGTTCTGTATAGTAGAAATGTAGGATGAATGAAGCCAAGCAGTTGGAGGACAAAAAATCAGTAAGGTAGATCAGAGTAGGTGAGGAGTTTGAGTTTATTTTGTAGGCCGTGGAGGAATCATTGAAAGAAAAATCCTTTAGGAGTACACTATATTAATTTGGGATGCTAGACTGCTAACACAAATAATCTCAAACAGGCAATAGCTCAAATACAATAGAAGTTTACTTAAAGGACTAAACAGAGAAGAGCGAGTATTTAGGTCAGTAGGCAGCTCTCCTCCATAAGATTATTCAGGGATTTATGCTGACAGCAGGCTCTGTCATCTTCAAAACATGGCTACGAAGGTGCTCATTCATTTCCATTACTACTCAAAGGAAGGGGGAGAGAGCATGAAAAAAAAACTATGGCAGGTTTTATTGGCCAGCCCTGGAAGATACATACATCACTTCATACAAATATGTCCAGATACTATGGAAGAAGGGAAATTGAACTATGGTAGATAGCCAGCACTCTGACACATAATCATTTATAATGGGTTGAACACCCGTAATGATTACATATCAATTCTATCTATCTATTGAAACTTAACAATAAAGAATTTTTTTGAAAAGCAATTTAAGTGAATGGATCACCTAAATTACAAGTACTGAGCATTTTTTAGGATCTCTAAAAGGAAAACTACTGCTTTTTTTTCTCAAAGAGCTTACACTCAAAAAACCTGCAGTGTTATCCATATGTAGTAGTTCAGAGGCAACTTCAAAGTAGGCAGCACTTAATTTTAATTTTGACTTCTAAAAGATGAGAATGAAGTAAGAAACATGGCAGGGAAGAGGAAAGTTATTCTGAGTTAAGGTAACAATATGAGCAATACCATTCAGGCAAGAATAAGCCTGCTGTGGAAATGAAACTGGCTAGATTCATGTTGGAATCAAGTAAATAAGTCTGTGTGGGATAAGATCATGGAGAATCACTCAAGCCTGTGGAAAAGTTTGAATTTAATATGGTAAGCAGGTTTTGATTAAAAACCCATGTGAGCCATACTGACTTATGGCTGGCTGGCTGACCGGCTTTATTTATCTATCTTTCCTTCTTCCCCACTTCCCTCACTCCATTCCTTCCATCTATCTGATCTGTCTTCTTCCTTCTTTTCTTCTTTTCTATTTCCTTTTTCCTTTTTTCTTTCCTTCCTCCTTCCCTTCCCAATTCACATACCACAAATTCCACCCTTTAGTGTTTTCTAGTGTATTTACAAAGGCAGGCAACCATCATCACCATGTAATTCCAGAACACTTTCGTTACCCCAAAAGCCCCATATCCTTTAGCAGTTACTCTCCATTCTCACTTCCCCCAGCCTTGGGCAATCACTAATATACTTATCTGCCTCTGTTGACTTACCTGTTACGGACAATTTATTTAAAGGGAATAATACAATATATGGTATTTTGTGTCTCCCTCCTTTCACTTAGGTTCATCCATGTTGCAGCATGTAATAGTACTTCATTCCTTATTATGGTTAAATAATATTCCATTTTATGGATATACCACATTTTGTTCATTCAACAGTTGATAGGCATTTTTGGTTATTTATAGATTTTGGCTGTTATGAATAATGTTACCATGTATATTCATGTACAGCTTTTTGTGTGGACATCATTTTTTACTCTTTTGGGTATGTACTAGAAATAGAATTGCTGAGTTATATGGTAACTATGTTTAACATTTTGGAGCACTGCCAAACTATTTTTCGAAAAGACTGCACCATTCCAAATTCCCACCAGCAATGTATGAGGGTTCCAATTACTGTCTCTTTGATTATAGCCATCCTAATGAATGTGAACTGCTCTTTCATTGTGGTTTTTATTTGCATTTCTCTAATGTGCTTATTGGCTATTTGCATATCTTCTTAGCAAAAATGTCTATTCTAATCCTTTGCCCATTTTTAAGTTTGGTTATTTATCTCGTTATTGTTGAGTTGTAATGGTTCTTTATATATTCTGGACACCAATCCCTTATCAGATATATTTGCAAAATTTTTCTCCAGTTCTGTAGGTTATCTTTTTACTTTCCTGATTGTGACTTTTGAAGCACAAAAGCTTTAATTTTTATATAGTCCAATTTGTCTATTTTTCTTTTTTGTGTGTGTGCTTTTGATGTCATATCAAAGAAGCTGTTGACTCATCCAAGGTCAAAAAGATTTACTCCTACGTTTTCTTCTAAGAGTTGCAGTTTTAATGTTTAAATACAGATCTCTGAGCTATTTTGTATTAATTTTTATGTATGCTATATGGAAGGGATCCAGCTTTATTCTTTTACTTATGGATAACAAATTGCTCCAGTGTCATTTGTTGAAAAAACTGTTCCTTCACTCATGTAATTGCCTTGGCACATTTGTTGAAAATCAATTGATCATAAATGTTAGGGTGTATTTTTAGACTCATAATTCTACTCCCTTGATTTTTATTTCTGTTCTTATGCCAGTGTCACATTCTTTCTTTCTTTCTTTTTTTTTACTACAGCTGTACAGTAAGTTTTGAAATTGGGAAATGTGAATTTTTTTGTTGTTATCATTAATCTACAATTACATGAGGAACATTATGTTTACTAGGGTCCCCCCTTCACCAAGTCCCCCCCACAAACCCCATTACAGTCACTGTCCATCACCATAGTAAGATGTTGTAATATCACTACTTCTCTTCTCTGTGTTGCACAGCCCTCCCCATGCCCCCCACAGTTTACATGCTAATCGTAATACCCCCTTCTCCCCCCCCCACCCCCCAGCCATTATCCCTCCCTTCCCACCCATCCT